GTCTCTCTGTCTCTCTGTCTCTCCGTGTCTCCGTCCGTCCGTCCGTCCGCCCGTCGGTCCGTCCGTCCGTCGTTCCGTCCCGTCTGTCGTTTTTCCTTCCTTCCGCTGGGTTCAGGTTCTCACGCGAACCCGCGCCGAGGCGCCCCTTTCCCTCATGCGTTTGTGGGGAAGAGGCGTTGGGGTGTTTCAGGCGGTTTTCGTCCGTTGTGTTCTGTTTGGCTGGTGGTGAAAGGCTGCTGCTAAACCCCTTCTTACCTCTGAACATCTCTGAACTTTAACTGGCCTCATCACCGCGCAAAGTTCGAAGTTCCTGCAGCAGCCTATCCCCCCGGCCGTGGTGCACAGCGGTCTACAGCGGATCCACCCCTTTTGAGTACTGTACGACAACAGTTCTAAGGACAGGACCATGTGAATCAAAAAGCAAGGTCAGTATGGTGCAGGTCATCAGTATGGGATCAATTTTTCCCCAGTCGTGGTGACCTCTAAGAACACAGGGGTCCACTTATTTGTAAAGCAACACCATGAACAGCGAACCGAGCAGGAAACGAGCATAAGTGGATCCCCCGGTTCATTCAAGCATGTGCGAAAAGGGAATAGAGTCTCAATGCTGACACAGATGTTTCCCATCGCTGGGTATGTACGAATTGGCAGTAAGATCGATCCTTCTTTAGCAAGCGGAATGCTTGGCAGACGTGCAGTATGAAGGGTGGCAGTATGGCCCTGTTTCGGTAGTAGTGTCTGGCTCAGCGGCCCGTTAGAGTTATGCCTGTCTTTACAAGCGAACTGGGGTCCACTTGAGGAGGCGTCTTACAAAATCCCGGGAGCAACTAAAGTAAATCAAACAAACATCCCAACAACAAAACGTCAGACACTGCATCAAACATCGCTCTCCTCCAAAAACTGTCCCACGCGCTCCTCATTTCATGGCGCTCTTCTACGGTTCAGTCGGCTGGCCATCATGTCTTGGACTTGTTGCACCGTTCGCCATCGGGCGCCCGGCTGCATGTCCACCCCCGTTCGCTTTGGGCTTCGGCTTGGTTTACGCGGTGTTTGGGCCCGCCTCGAACTGGAGCTCGTTCTGTCCGAGGGTCTTCCCAGCTCTCCCCATGGCCAGTTGGCCATCCCACTTGTCGTGGGCGTCTCGGTTGCGGTCTCCCCCGGCTCATCATCTGTATCGCTGTCACCATTTCCACCGTCCACCTCCTCAGCTGGGTTGTGGTCTTTGCCAGCTTCACTTTCGCTGTCCCCCCAGTCAACTTCCTCTGCTGCTGGGCTGTGACCACTGTTGTTGTCAAGCCCCGGTGTTCTTGCGGAGCTTTGACCTCCCTACAGGCCTTGATTCTCTTCCGGCAGATTCACCGGGACGACTACCTCGAAAGTCGGTTATAGCCGTGGCCGACGACGCCGCCGTCGTCGAGACCGAGATCCACAACCAGATGTCACTACTAGAGGAGCTCCTCGGCAAAAGCATATGCAGAGAACCCATTATGGGCCCGGAGTCTGGACATGACCGCGGAGGCCCACCTCAAGCACTACCACGAGTAGATCCAATCCGCGCCTTTGCCAGCCCGCCTGCAGCACTTGTGCTGCCACCTTTACCAGGCCAGGGCGCAGCAACATCGACAAGCTCGACCACCTGTTCTCCGGCTACTACAACTGCCCCTCCTTCTTCCTCACGTCGGCCGATGGTGTGCGGGGACTTACCCCGGAAGAGGCCGGTGCCGCTCGAGCACTCCCACTGAATGCCCAGCCCAAGCTTCTGTCTCTCTCTCTCCCTCTCTCTCTTTTTCACAAGGCCTCTCTCTCTCTCTCTCTTTCTTTCGCCAGGGCTGTGGCGCAAGGGGAAATCCCCCTACGCCGCGCGCCAGTGCGCCCCCGACAGGTGCGGGAGACAAAGAACACAGCGTGCGCACTCCACCGAGGCAGATTCGCTGCGTAACGGGGAAGCAAGAGCGAAAGCAAATATAACATGAGTTTGCCTCGGTGGGTGGCCAGAAGTCCGGAGTCACGAGGTGCATAGAAAGCAAGTGTTACTGAAAGAGTATTTGGGAGGCTCAGCGGCCCGTCTTGTGAATTCAAAGGCATACACAGGGTTTCCCCCAGGTGCAGACACATGGAGGGAACATTGGGAAAGCCTCTCGTGCTATGGTACAACTGCCTTCACTCATGACGCAGCATCAGGTCTTGCATGGACGCTTTGCGACCGTATCTCGAGAACAAACGTATTGTCCGGCGTGAAGCTGTACTAAGTACAGTCTCACATACGGAAAGTACCCCCGCCGCGTACGGCAAAGCAGGTACTTGTAAGCAAACAATTGATGCCTCCGTCGCTAATGACCACGCAAGGCAGATTGTCAGTGTTCATTATCTGTAAAAGAACTACTCTACAGGCATTCAGAAGAATATTGCATGATGGAAATAGAACAGCTGATTTCTCTGAGCACTGAAGCGATGATCCGCTTCCAAGACTGGCAGCACAAGCGGACATTCAGAGGTCCCTGCAAGCTCCGAGCAAGTAGCAGTTGGAAAAGGCATGCTGCATGTCTGAATCATTGCAAGGACGTATCGCTCGATCATCATCTGTAAGCATAGCTGTCCACTTATCACTGCCGTCCGGAAGCTGCCGACGGCCACTCAGAATGGAGCGGTAGTGACCTGCCCAAGGATGAGGCCAATAGTAGCTCCAACCTCAAAAGGAAATATCGCCAAGCCCTTATGAACAGGTCGTCGACAGTCCTTCTGTGACCATCGCTTAAGTTGAAAGAAGAGCACCATTGGAGCCTCACGTACGGCATATGGATACTGCTGCATGTGCCATTGTTGTATACTGGCCTGCAAACCATGCCGATGAATTTCCAAACAAAAGTATGGGCTCCCGAGTCTGGCCTGAGTCATGCACAAAGGTAAGCGAGCCAAGGCTGGAGCGTGATTCCACAAACCATCATAAGAAACCGGCATCGCATACTCAAGCATGTAAGCCCAAAATTCAGCTGCATCCTGTTGTCGAGACAAGTCCGGGCGCCACTGTCTCAGAAAATGCAACCAAAACTTACTATTGAGCAAACAGGTGCTGCCCACCTGACGTAGGTGGCCACAGGGCCCGAGCAGCTGTCCAAAAAGTGAAGCCTGATCAATATATGTTTCATGAATCATACCAATCCATATGAACATTTGCAGAGTGGCATGCACATAACATAAATTGCCGGGACTTCGCAGACAAAAGCGAAGGAATGGCCTGGTACATCCTTGCAGCAGCCACCTGCTCACTCCAGATTCTCCGTCGCTCCTTTCCGCTCCTCCTCGGTCTCTTCCGTTCGGGCGATCGGCTTCGGTGGGGTCTTGGGTGCCGCTTGCCGGGAGGGGCTGGGCTGGCCCTGGTCTGCTGTGTACGGCCTTGCCCACACCCATGTTCCCGGTCCTCCGGCTGCTCCAGGCTCGTGGTGATCTGCCGGACGTACTGTTTGATCAAGCCCAAAAACAAGACGAGACGTAGGCTGGTGTCAACCTGGCCCGCCTCCTTTTTCTCCTTCCAAACCACAGCCATCTTGAAGAGGATTCCCAGCATGTTCGCCGTGTTGCCTTCGGCTGCTTGGGTCGGCGGCTCGAAACTGAGCACGAAATCTCTCTCGGTTCGCATTTGCGAGAGCTCGTCTTCGTGCCTCAAAGACATTCGGGCAAGGAGCCTCATCTGCTCNNTATCCCATCTCCCTTCGGAGCTTCTTCAGCTCCTCGTTCTGGTACCAGGCAGTATCCGACTCCCACTGTCGCCACATTTCGTCCTGTCGTTGACGAGTCCAATCCCGGGTCCATTGTCGAGGATCGGACTGCTGACCCGAGCCTTCCTGGCCCGCCTCCTGACTCCTGGTGGGATTGTTCTGGCCCTGGCCATTGCCCTTCCCTGCCGGCTCGGGGAACTTGTAGGGTCCCGCCGCCATTCCCGGGTCGTTTCGTTTGCCCAAAGCCGAGGCCGGTGGCATCTCCTCGTCCCTCCTCCCTGGGAAAAGCGTCTCCACAGCTGCCCCCAAAATATCTCCCACCTCCCTGTCCGCCTGCGTGGAAGGGTTCTCCATCGCTTCCAGACGCTCCATGTTGAGGATCAACAGAAGCTGCAAGCCTTAGCGCACGCCAGTGAAGCATGAGATACGGATGCACTGCTCTCGCATTCATAGGCACTCGGACGCAAGCTTCCTCTTGCCAGGCGATGCTCAGCCCCAGGTCTGTGCAGCCGGAGATGGCTCGAACACTTGGATCAATTTCCTACACCAGTGAGCGCTTAGCTAGTGGCAGATTCTTGAGCCACAAAGTTGCGTGGGGGAAATCAAGAGGAAAACAACATTCTGCGTCGACTTAGTACCTTTATCTTGGTTTGCACGGTTTTGTTTGGCCGTAGACAGGGAAGACCAAGCAATACTTAATATCTTTATCTTGGTTTTAGCGGGTGTGTGTTGTCGTAAACAGGGCATCCAATACTTCGTATCTTTATCTTCATTTTAGCGAGTGTGTAATGTCATAGACAGAGCATCCTAAGCAACACTTCGTAGCTGAGAGACATGCGGACATGCTGACAGCCATGCAGACATGCAGACGGACATGCAGACAGCCATGCAGACATGCTGACAGACATGCAGACGGACATGCAGACAGACATGCAGACAGACATGCAGACATGCTGACAGACATGCAGACGGACATGCAGACAGACACGCAGACAAGCATGCGGACATGCAAGCAGACATGCAGACATGCAAACAGACATGCAGACATGCAAACAGACTGGTTGCAAAGTGGGGATTCTCAGGATCCACAGTTG